AGAGGGTTGGGAAGCTCATCTTGTAACCGTAAGGTCGCCGGTTCGATCCCCCAGCTCTATCTGTCCTGGTCGTTGTGTCCTTGGGCAAGACACGCCTACTGGTGTTGCCAGAGGGGCCGATGGTGCGATGTGGCAGCCTCGCTTCTGTCAGTCTGTCCCAGGGCAGCTGTGGCTACACCTGTAGCCTCCACCAGTGTGTGAACGTGAGAGTGAATGAATAGTGGAATTGTAAAGCGCTTTGAGGGCTATATAAATGCAATCCATCATTATTATTATTAATTCTTTGGCCTATTTTGATATATAATTTTAAAACATGGCTTTTAGCTGCGACCGGGTGCTTCGTGCCACGCTTTGATGCTTGATTGATCTCTGAGTGACTGCAGGGACTCAAAGAAATCCAATTCAGACCATTTGGTTGCACTTGGCACCTCTGAGGCGAGGCGCCGATGGATGCAATATTACAGGGCATGGTAATGACCTGCATTCAGGCACAAGCAGATTTAATGGGAGGGGGGTGCTGATTCTGACAGCGACTGGGAGGGAAGCTGGTGATCACGGAAAGAATCAGATAAGAGGTTTGGAGAGCAGTTATTTGGTGAAAAACACAGTGTGATGTAGCTTTCAGGAACAGGTAATGGTGCTGTGAAGAAAGATGGGATCCTGACCGAGAGCACAGGGCGCACAGCTTACTGCAGCTTATTCAGAAGCAATGAGGCTGTCGGTTAACACTTCAGATGATAGAAAACACGCCATGGCGAGCTGTTTATCATAGCCCGCCGTTAGACTGGTATTATACAACTGCTGTTAGGCGTTATTAAGCAACACAAGTTTCTACCATGAGTGCAGCTCATTACACAGCAGAAAACAAAATTGTCACACTGATGAAAAATGTGAGGGCTCTGCAGTGTGGGGATGAGCTGTGTGTGAGCAGTGCAGACATCAGCAGGTTCACGGAGAGAGCTGCTCTCATACATCCTTACATGATTACTGCGGGATATTAGCATGCTAACACGTCAGCGCCGTTTATTCAGACGGTGCCGGCTCATAAGCTTCCTCAAGGTGCTGCATGATATGAGGTTCAACATCAGAGTCGTGCAGGACAGCTTTGACCTGATGATGCACTGCAGAGAATCAACAATATTATTATGATTCATCCTCAGGAAACCATGAAGTTCATGGTACTCAGCTGATCACCAGCAGGGTCCATCCTGTGGGGAGCACGCATGACCTCACGGGCGCCAAAACAGTCGGCATGTCAGAGCACTCGGGTCTTAAACCACACAGTCCAAGAGTACCTGCGCTTATGAGGAAGTGAAAATAAATAAGACTGCAGTTCCTCAAATGCCCACTTGGGGCTGACTCCAGTGTTAAAACATGTTTACAGCCTGAGACAAAAGACTTTTAGTCTTAATGGATAGTTCAGTCAGGGTCCGGGTTTTTTGACCCAACATTTTGAGTTTTATGCATTTTTCGTCCCCACAAGCTGCATGTCTTTGGACGGTGGGAGGAAGCCGGAGTACCCGGAGAGAACCCACGGGGATAGGTTAATTGGATAATCCAAATTGTCACTAGGTGTGAATGTGCGAATGAATGTGAGTGCGAATGGTTGTCTGTCCCTGTGTGTTGGCCCTGTGACAGACTGGCGACCTGTCCAGGGTGTACCCCGCCTCTCGCCCTATGACAGCTGGGATAGGCTCCAGCGCCCCCCGCGACCCTGAAAAGGACAAGTGGAAGCGAATGGATGGATGGATGGATGCATTTTTCGTATTATAATGGTCTTGTTTGTATAGTTTACACTTCAGTTAGTCCTGTTGATAGTGAGTTCTGTTTCCCTGTTTAGTTCTCGTCTGCCCAGTTTCATCCCGGGTCTGTGTTGGTTATGGCGTCGTGTCTTTAGTGTTGCGAGTCTGTCAAGTCCCCTGAGTTTAAGTCTCCCTCGTCTTTAGGTTAGTGTTTAGTTTTGTATCCCTTCCCCTTTGTGTTTGTACCTTTTCATCAGCCTCTAATAAACAGCTCACTTTCTTAAAATATAGTTTTGTTTCCAGGTGTCTGCATTTGGGTCCTCTTCCTCTCACCACACGGTGAGCGAGGGCACCGTGTGATTACCTGGTGTTTTCATAATGTTCAGAACATTGAGTGTAGAAAGCTGTGACTTTTCACCCTAATTTACTTTGTAGTTTGCACTTTAGTTGCTCAGGTGTAAGGCCGTGTCCAAAGTTCTTCACATTTAGCCGAGGCTAGCATCCAACGCCGGCCCCCTGATGGGCATTAATGGTGTAGTTGTGTAAAAGTTGCAAAAACAAGCACCTGAGACAAACCAGCAAAGACAAGTAGCTAATACGAGC